GCTGGAATCCCCCCCACCATCTCCTGGCAGCTCTAACCGGATGGTTCGCAGCAGTCGCCGGAGCTAACCGCCTCCTTCGCGGTGTCCAGACGTTCCCAGCAGCCGGGGCTCCTCCACTCTGGCGGTGCAAAGAGGATGACGAGGAGCGGGCTGACGGCTGTGTCCTTCTCCGCTGAACAGTAGGCGGTTGTCGGCGCAGGTTTGTTCCCTGAGCGGAGGTGAGCGGAATTTGTCGAGTCGAGCTAGCTTCCAGGTGAGTTTTTCAGTGTTTGTTTAACGTTGTTTGAAGTTAGCTAAGCTAGCTGAGATCTGGCTGTGTCATGTTTACCTCTGAGCAGCTTCATCTCATCAAACCTGCACTTTTTTACATCTCCTGGCTAAATATTTGGATTTACCACTGTGGGAGGATGTTCTTTACTTTGGTTAATTTTTAAATGTAATAATAACAAATTCAAGACATGTCACAGAATTAGCATTTTACACAATCCCTACCTTCTGACATTAAAAAAATAGTATAATTTAATCAACTATAACCATATAAATTCTTATCCATACCTATCAAATGGTTTCWAACAGTTTACTCCAGCAGTTTCATAAACATACTGATATGGTACTTGAATGCGGGTATGCACTCAATGTAAACAAAGCAATTTCTTTTGCAAACCTGCCATTGTTGACCTATTTTCAGTCACTTTGACTGTTTCTGTTGGTAAACAAAAAACAAATTTATATTTTAAGKATCCATTAACCATAAATATGACCAATCTTCTTGATGTTGCAATGAGCTACTGGCCTTGATTAGTATTATTTAGTAGTATTATGGTAGTTTTTCTTGTTTTTTGAAGGTCTTTTGAATTTTTCTTTTAATTCTAGCTGCTGTTTTACTAATTATTTTGTGTATCTAGCACCACAGCATGTTTAAAGGGGCAATATTAWATGCTGCTCAGGCATATATTTAAGTTGTATACTATAATAAAGTATCTATGTCACCTTTAGTTGTTATTAAAATTCTGCTTTTTTATGTTTAAATAGAAAATAAACTCTTCTTGAGTCAAAGTAAGACTCTGGGCATGTTTTTGATGAGAGGTGCATGTAGAGGACAAAATAACAAGTCTGCAGCAGATGAACAATATCTGAGAGACATAATAGAAAATAGGTTGAAAAAACAGCTAAAGCCTGAGAGATGCATCATTCTTCGGCTCAGCTGTAAAAGTTTTCAGCTGCTAGTTCTTTGGGAGTCATCCTGCTGGTCCTAAAATAAGATTTTCCGTCACACTTGGTTATTTATGGTACTTCTCATGCATTCAGTGAAATAAATGGGAACAAATGGTGTCTTTGTATCAGGCAAAGATGTTGTTTAAGCCTCTGGCTGCCCTCGGGTCAGAACCACCCACGAGACCTCAGCCTTCAAACTGTCAGGACGTCTGTCATGTGTCAACACAACACAGACTCATTCTTTGACTGTACGAGCAATTTTATACCTGAAAATATAAACTCTGGACTGAAGCAACCACGGTCCAAAATAAAGACTTCCTGAAACTTGGAGAACTAAAAAAAACAAATAATAAAGAAACGAGTCGACTGGTAACTTTAAGTGTTTTTGTTGTGTTTGTAAAACATTTATCTACAATCAATAATCCTGAAAACTGGACTTATTGAAGCGTTGTATGTTTTCCTGTTATCATTATGTTCACCTTAGTTACTTTGTCAAATATGTTTGACTTTGTTACCAAATAAAGTTAAAGTAAAAAACAGATAATTTTCTGTAAGGACACTCAGTTACACGAGCTGAAACTGAACCGTTTCAACTAAAACCAGCTAAACTTAAAGCTGAAGTTTGAAAAACACAAGCTAAAGTACGCTGAATGGTGAAAAGCTAGAACAAACAGAACAGTAGCTGAAACAGTAAATATTAGGGGTGTAAGAAAATATCGATACACTGAAATATCGCGATATTT